AAATCAGTTGTGGGGGAAAGAGACCCACCCACTCTTTCTTTAAAGAAAATTCATTTCCTAGCCAGACATGCAAAACTCATGCAATTCGGAGTGAAACCTGATTACTGCAGCTGGGCTTGCAAGGAAGAATAAATTTAGCACCATCGCTTAGGAAACATTAGTCAGTGCGATACCCGAGCACCCAGAACTATGAAAAAAACAGGTGGAGGAAAACCAGGTGGAGGATGCTGGCATGGACGGTACACCACATGGCTTCAAGGAGGAGTGAGGATTACATAACCCGTGCTGCTATATTATCTATTTTAAATTAATCCTAGCATAACAATGGCACCATCTATGCTGCAGGAGCAAAGATGGGGTCCACATGGAGATGATAAAAACTAGCTCAGACATGACTCTTTCAGTTCAGGTGCATCAGACACACCTGGGGCCACTGGCTAAAACAGATACATGGATTTCATGTGCTGATTTTGTCATTAAGGCTGATATTTTTCAAAGGTGTCAGAATGGCTGAGAGCAGTTGCACTGAGCTCCAGGCCTGGAAGTGTCAGCTGGAAGTGTTTGCAAGATCAGGTAGTTTACATGTCCCTGAGTGAGGCCTGGTACCATAACCAAGTGAGTAATTAGGCCTGAGCTATTTTTAGGCCTGTCCAACAATTAAAAAAACAAATTGTGATTCATCACATGGTTAATTGCACTACTAAGCTACAACAGAATGCCATTTATTTAAATATTTTTGGGTGTTTTCTACATTTTCAAATGTAATAGTTTCTATTACAACACAGAATACAAAGTGTACAGTGCTCGCATTATAGTAATTTTTACTGCAAATATCTGCACTTTCAAAAACAAAAGATGTATTTTTCAATTCACCCAATGCAAGTACTGCAGTGCAATTTCTTTATCATGAAAGTCAAACTTACAAATGTGGAATTACATACAAAAATAAAACAATGTAAAACTTTAGAGCCTACAAGTCCACTCAGTCCTACTTCTTGTTCAGCCAATCACTTAGAAAAACAAGTTTGGTTACAATTTGCAGATGGTAATGCTGCCTATTTCTTGTTTACAATGCCACATGGTTCAGCCAATCACTTAGAAAAACAAGTTTGGTTACAATTTGCAGATGGTAATGCTGCCTATTTCTTGTTTACAATGCCACATGGCACTGTTGTAGCTAGCATCACAAGATATTTACTAGCCAGATGTACTGAAGATTCATATGTCCCTTCATGCTCCAACCACCATTCAAGAAGACATGCATCCATGCTGATGACAGGTTCTGCTAGATAATGATCCAAAGTAGTATGAACTGACAGATGTTCATTTTCATCAGCAGAGTCAGATGTCACCAGCAAAGGATTGATTTTCTTTTTTGGTGGCCTGGGTTCTGCAGTTTCTGCATCAGAGTCTTGCTCTTTTAAGACTTCTGAAGGCACCCTACATACCTCATCCCTCTGAGATTCTGAAAGGCACTTCAGATTCTTAAATCTTGGGTCGAGTGTCTTTAGAAATCTCACATTGGTATCTTTGTGTTTTGTGAAATCTGCAGTGAAAGTGTTCTTAAAATGAACAATACATGCTGGGACATCATTTGAGACTCCTAGAACATGCAATATATGGCAGAATGTGGATAACACAGAGCAAGAGAATACAATTCTCCCCTAAGGAGTTCAGTCACAAATTGAATTAACACATTTATTTTTTAACAAGCATCAGCATGGATGCACCTCCTCTGAAATGGTGGTCAAAGCATGAAGGGACATATGAATATTTAGCATAGCCGCCATGTAAATACCTTGTGACACCAGTTACGAACATGCCAAGCAAACACTAGTTCTCACTTTCACATGGCATTTTAAATAAGAAGTGGGGAGCATTATCTCCCAGAAATATAAACAAACTTTATACCCTGTTTGTTTCCATTTTCACATGCCTCTCTGCTACTTCTTCCAGGCCCAGCCATATCATCGTCATGAGAGAAGTTTTTTTTGCTGGATTTCTCACCCAGGAGTTACCGGAAATCCGGTAATAGGGCTACTGGTGGTAACATTTCTATTGCCAAGAAGTACAGATGAGCAGTCAAACCTTCCCCGCTACATTTGCCTGCTCCCCTGTAAAAAGGCAGGAGGTTTAAAGAGGAAGGAAATCAACACAGAAAATCCAGGGCAATGTCCTGTCAAAATGAGAGAATTCTGAAAAATGTGAAGAGCTTAGCAGGAGCAAGTATTTTTCAAACCAGGGGATACACTCTCCTATGGTGCTTAGGATCTCGCAAGGATCTTAGACTAGCAAGTGAAATTACAGCCTGTTTCGGCATGAACCTGACATTGCCTTCAGTGGGAATACACACACAGAGCACCTGACCCTGTCTGTCCATGCAGGATACCTTCAACTGCCGTACTTTTGCTGCTTCTGATGTAACTCACACACGGTCCTGAGACCATCAGACAGTCAGAGCTCAAGCAGCAGGTGTTTTTCTTCCAGCTGAGAAGTGCAAGCATCCAACATAGTTCGTTCCCCTAACAAAGCCTGGTTATAGCTAAAAGTGCAGGTTATCCAGCAGGGACACAGGAGGGGGAGAGAGACTGTAGAATAGCAGGGAGGGGGGAGGGACCAAACAACTGCAAAGTTCCCAAGCCAGAGAAGGAAGGTGACATACATGCACTAGAACAGGATGTAAACAAGGTTTCGTGGCTCATGCTGCTGGGAAGGCGCTGGTCAGTGCTCCTTTTTCAAAGCTTAGTATGCCAGTGAGAAAGTCACTTGAATCTGGGAACACAAGTCAGGAAAGCTGTGAGGAGGGTCCATGGCAAGCTTACTGTACGTGAGATGACTCCCGTGATTTCAGGCTCCAAGACTCTGTGCAAAGCCCCTGAGACGGGAGGCACCAGTGGAGGCGGTGGGGAGAAAGAAGGCAGTTTCGGGCCAACTGGGGGCAAGAAGCCAGGTGAGGAATGGTGATGGTGATGGTGGGGGCCCCTCTGGAGATGAGGGGGAATGAAATCGTCTAGTGTTGGGAAAGTCAGAGGTGAGCCAGCAGGAACGGTCTCAGTGAAGGTGGTGCCTTGACCCAAAGGTACCAGAGGTGGTGGCGGAGTACTGGAGCTGCCTTCGTGCTCTCTGTCTGTGTGAACCTGGAGGAGTGGGACTACTATAACCTCAGGCTGGGCTGTGGAGCTGGAAATGGTATCCTGTGGGAAACAAGGTGGGGTTACGCAATGAGGACAAGCCATCCTCGGTGAGAGCACAGCCCGGCACTAGTGGGTACTGACAGGCCAGGATGCGCCCAGCCACTGGCTGCTCCTTTTGCACAGCCCTGAGGGATGTCTTCCTTAGTGCCCAAAGGCTCCATGAGCGCACCAGAGACAGCAGACCCACTTTTGCCCACCCTTGAAGTCTCCATTGAGCCACAAAGCAGCTCATCTCTACTGCAGCCTTTGCTATGGTTACACCTACCTAACTGGGACTATCTGACCTAGCCGGCCCCCACCTATTGATTTTAGCCTGCGCGCGCGCGCGCTCTCTCGCTCTCGCTCTCGCTCTCTCGCTCTCACACACACACACACATCACTCTCTGGGGAAAAGCGAGAGGTAATTGAAGAGCAAACAAGAAGAAAAAAGCGCACAAAGAGCGACCTGTGGACAGAGAGTGGTAGAGATGAATGCAGCCTCAGGGACACTGTAGGAATTAAAGAACCATTCGCAGGGCTGAAAGAAAACAAGATTATGAAGCAAATGTGGACCATGCTGTATCCCTTCACCTTGTACAGATGCTGCTGCTGCGTAAGGCAGGGCTCCTCTCTCATCCTGTCCCCACAGCCGGGCGCACTCGGGGGCTCTAGCCCTGGGTCCCTCAGAGCCCGAGGAGGTGGCGACTGAGTCCAGGAGGAATGGCTTGCACCAGAGCTAACTGCGTCTTTACTGAGGACAATGTTAAAGTATGGCCTGGGAGGGACAGCGGGAGGGGGAGGGAGAGGAAAAGATTTCCCAGTACCCATTACAGGGGAAACTGTGTTGGTGGCTGGTGCTTGGGTGGCCTCAGCTCCCAAATGGGGGCTCTCTGCGTGGGCATGTGCAATGCTGGGGGAACAGTCAGGTGCAGCGGAGCAAGTGCTGTTAGCTAAACAAGCCACATACAGACTGCTGACCTTTCTAGCCCCTAGAGTCCCATGTGTGGAATGCATTCCAGCAGCAACGCCAGGGGCTGTCCTGGCAGGGGTGCGATGTTTAGATGAAGTGCCCAGTAACAAGGAGCTACCTCCCAAAAGGGACTGCTCAGCGTGCCCCTCGTCCTTGGGAATCACACTAGCTGTGGGCGGAAGCCCTGTGGAGAAGCTTGGCTTCCCCCCGGGGATTCTCCCAAAGGGTGCACGAGAGGAGGAGCAGTGACGGCTGCTGCCACTCGGTGACACACGCTGGGCAGCAGGCTTGGATGCATTCACATACACACAGTCCATGATGGGGACTGGCAGCAGGTTGGTTACTTTCGTGTCAGTGTGTGGGCACCATGCATAGCTCTCTTCCTTTGGAAGAGGAGGACGGGGAGGGGAAAGGGCCTGTCCAGACAGATTCAAGGGAAGGAGAAGGAATCCGCACCAAACGAGGGGAAAAGACAAAGAAAAAGAAATGAAAGAATGAAGTTGACCATTAGACTTGGGTTAACAGGACTGAATTCAATGAGCGCAACAGGCTGACACAGTATCTCCAAACTGGCTCACTCTCAATGCTTCTTGTTGGGGGATGCAAAGGGTATCTAGCTTTCAAGTTCACACCTATGAAGGACACCCCACCTTGGTTTCAGGGCTAACCTTGCACTAGGTACTGTAGTGACCAGCATGGCTACCAAGCTCCTAATGCTCCCCCGGGACTGTGAAATGCAGATCTGACCTTCAGAGCCATTCTCTGTGCTCCATGACCCCCAGCCCAACCACTCGCTAGCTCTGGGCACATTGAGAACCAGAAGAAAATATGGATTCTGCCGCTCAGGTTTTACTGCACACTAAGCAGAGAGCTGAAATCTGATTCAAAGCTTCTGTTAATGCACAACCCTCCCGCAGAGACCCACTGTACTGCAGATACAGAGAGATTAAATACAAGTCTCATTTCTTTTGCCCGAGGCAGGTACCCCACGTCCCTTCTCAAAAGATCCCTCAGTCACAATACACCCACAGGAAAACAGAACATTTTAAATCTAGAGTGGAGTCAGGTTCCCAGGAACTTGTTTTAGAGTGACGCCTTCTGACAGGGAATTCACGTTCCTTGCAAAGCAAAAAAAAGCTCCATTGTTGTTTCCGTACACTGTAACACAGAGACTGCAACTCCAGAACTGCGTGAAGATTGCAATTCCAGTTGGAGCAAATCTGCTTGGAGCCCAGTTGTTCTGCAGCAAAAGTAGTACCTTTGCTACAGGGAGGTTTCACTGTATTTATTGCCTCTTTGCAGGTAAATCACCATCTGGCAGAAGGAAAACAACCAGAACGCCAGCCTACAGGATCGGCTTCTTTTTTTTTTTGGAGACTTTAACAGTTCAGAACTTTATAGGCTTGGTTAATGTTCTTTTTAAAAATTCATCACTCTAGGCAGCTTTGGGGCATCTCCTTGCATATATTGGCATAAGCTCCAGAGTAATCCCTTTAATTTCAGCAAGCTGCAATAGCCACCCTACCCGTGTCATGCCAAGCAGAGGCACTCTAGCATGGGTGGTGAGGAGGGCAGTACAGCCTCCCTGGGAGTGGCCAGTGACTCTGGCATAGGCTTCCAACTGGCCCAAAATAGCTCAAATCTGTGGGCAGGTCTGGGCATGATGCAAGACACATGTGTTTACGCTGGCTACTGTGGAGATGGCCGGGGAAGGGAAGCAGATGGGGTAAGGGGAATGTGGTCTTCTGGAGGTGGGTTCATTTCATCATTTTTCTAATTTCTGGCAGGGGCTCCCAGAGCTTTGGATAAGCCCCTTTTTATCCTTAGCGTATAGTGAACTGAATACATCAGGAGCTGCTTGGACAGCAAGCAAGCAGCCTCCCTGGTTATCACACTCGGGTACCACAGAGAGAGCTAGGTATCGCCTGTGACTGGAGCAATACTGCTGCCTGACAGATGCCGCAGAGCGGCCAGTTGCTTGTTAGCTTGACCACGGTACCCCACATGGCTGACAGTATTTGGCCCTTTCTGTTTCATCTGGGATTAGTTTAAGTGCCCTCAGGACTCTAAGCACAGTGCTCTGGGAAACTAAAACTGTGCTCTCTCTGTTCATGCAGATGCCCTGTAACTGGCTGCGAAACAGCTGCACATCTCGGGCAGGATGCAGCTCATTTCTGGAGCACTTCACTACTTCCTATGGCCTCAGCCGATGGGCACCCACGCCTTTGGCTTGACATTAAGGCACAGGGTCTGAGCCGGAGCTTTGTCTAGAACTTGCCACAGTTCCAGCAATCACCCTCTCTGAGGGGCTCCACTCCACACTTACAGAGCAGTAACAGGAGCCATTCCCCAAACACTTAGAAAGGTAAAAGGTGGCTCAGGTTTTCCCATCCCATAGAATCCAACCTGAACATTGCATGGGGCAGACTGGTTGCCCATACCTAGGCTGGCTTTTCTCTTTGCTTGGCAGACCAGTCCCAACACTTAGGGAAATAACCGTTCCACCAAGGGCTGACGAAAGGGGATATCCTTTCTAGCGCTAACATGGAAAGGCTTCTGCAGTCATTTGTTTAGGCCACTCTTTGGGTTTGGGAAGTTTAATTCTCCATTCAGCCAGCTGCAGCTGGAAGGCCAAAGAGCATACAAAAAAAGACATACAATAACGGATCACTGCCTCTTGGCCAACCCTTCCCACATGAACGCTACTGAATAGCACTGTGCCCCCGCCAGCCACCAAAGCACTCAGCTTGATTTAAGCCATAATAGCAAATTAAGCCACACAGCACACCTGGGAAAGACACATTTTCTCCATTTTGCAGATGGGAAAAATGAAGGCACAGAGACTTACCCATTCCTGCGAACTGAACACAGATCTCCTGACTCTGAATCCTGTGCTTGACCCCTCAAGAAAAACCTCACAGCCCCTGGAAAGATGCTTACCTGTGGTTTTCCCTCTGGGGAGAGGTTGGGACGCACACTTCTATAGCCCTTGGCAGCCAGAGAAGATGGCTGGATATCTCCATTAGAGGATAACCGCCAGTCATCTAAAAGGGGAAGAAGAACTTCAGGGCTGAGTGAATTCATTTAGTTAGATGAGGAAGGAGAAGAGAAGAGCAGATGCTTTTTGCTGGGCAACAGGAAATACATTCAGGGAAACAACAACAAAGCAAAGCAACAAGAGTATGTACCTGGTTCGGGTTTTCCTGTCTCCAGAGCTATGGATGCCACCGAGAGAAGGGACAGTAGAATGAAAAAATAAGGGGAAAAAATAAACTGTTACATTTACAGCAGACATGTCCCCACTGAATTCAAGATTCAGGCTACTTCATTTCACATGCCCAACAGGGATTCTGAATTGCCATAGAAACTGGCCCTAAACATGATGCCCTCACAGTTTCTGACCTTTGTAAACACAAGGCAATTCATTCGGAGGAAGGAAGAAACAATCGGTCATTGACATTCTTATTTCAGAGGCTAAAAGGCAGCTGAGCTATCTGCTCTCGAGCTGCATTTTGGAATCCAAATGCCACGCACTGCTGCAAACGCAGGATCTCCATGTCCGGCCATGATGTGGGTGTCTTTTTACCATTGCTGCATGAGAACAATGGGCGCAGAGACCCACTGACAAATAGATATCTATTTTTCAAGTAAGGATGGGGATGCAAAACATGACGCAATTTTACAGCCCAGTCCTGGAGCCAGAGACACCGAGGGGACCTACCTATAACCCACTGAGTTCCTCCCCCTCCCCCCACATTCACCGTTTGGTCGTTCATGTTCTGTACAAAGGGCCCTTCCAGCTCCAATGTGCATTTATAAAGTGACTGAGGGAGTTCAGCCAAAGGAGTATTAATGAGCTCATTTCCATAGGAATGGGCTCATTGCAATTCATGCTACTGGAAATGTATGAAGCTGCCAGCAGAAAGGGTAGGTGAAAGGGAGGGTGAGGAAGCAGAGAATGGAGAGAATGAAAAGAGGAGAGGTCATGGCAGTGCAAGGGGGAGAGGAGAGGAGAGGAGAGGAGAGGAGAGGAGAGGAGAGGAAGGTAGGAGGCTGCATGTCAGGGCTGGAAGGAACAGAATCCAAACAAGAGGCCCAGTGATTTCATGTGAATCACATTCAAGGGAAAAGTTGACCAACCCTAACCTCTCATAGCATCTCCCCTTTGGGACTGCACTCGACAAGGTCAGGCAGGGTCAGAGCTGCTTGGTTTGTCTCTGTAATTAAGTAATTCCATAGTGCTATTTAAATATGGCAACACTATCGACTTGGGGCCACACAAGGACACTGCCCACTGCCCACAGCGGCCTGGGAAGAGAGGAGGGACACAGAGGCCTGTTTGGGAAGAAAGGGACATTTCTTTTAGAATTCTGGCCAGCCACAAAAAGCAACACATTTGCCTTTTCCTCAGGAGTGTGTAAGAGTCTGTGAAACCCACTCTCAGAGGTTCTGGGGCTTTGTCTTCCTTCAGTGGCTGCTCCATGTGAGAGATTTAGGAGTCTGCTCTTGCTCAGGTCATTAGCACTGGTGGGCGGGACTCAGACTTTCAGTGCTGAAGTCCTGGACTCAAGTGCCATGTGGGGGCAGTTACAATTGTTGTCTCTTATGTTAACCTTTTACACATCAGTACCCTGGACTTACTTTCCAACGGCTCAACATCTGGAGAACGTGGGGGATTGAGAGTTGGCCTTTCGTCAGAGGCCGGAGATGCTCGTAGGGTTACAGTCCCTTTTCCAGTGCAAACTTTGGTGGGATCCTTGTCTAAAGAAAACATACACACAAAGGAGATGTATTGGAGCTTGTGATTCTGTGCTCCTGGAAGCCATCATAGCATGGCAAGATGCTAGTGACTCTGGATTAATTCTATCATGGCTGCCCTGAATGAATTATTTTAAATATTTATGCAAATGAGAGTTAGCTTTGGCTTTACAACATTTAAGCGATAACAGCAGCGGTATACTTAAAAATAAAACAACTAAGGAACACAAAAATGTGCAAGTCAGTGAAACTCATCTAGGGAAGTGGCAAGCCCTAATGGGTGTCTGGAACAAATTTCACAGGTTTATTCACTGTATTGGGCCTGGTCTCCACTCAGATTTGTTGCCGCATACATTTGACATCACTCTAATGGCATCCACACGAGGGGCATTGTACCATGTTAAATGCGCCAATCGGAAGCAGCACAACGCATGTGTGTAGTCAAGGCCTGAGTAGCGAGTTCCATGGAGAGTTACGTGCTGTTGTTACCCAGAATGAGGGGTATATGCTAGGCTGTGCCTTGCACGTCTCCCACACACCCTGCTCTGCTCCTGTGCCATGCCCATGAGATTGCCCCACAGGATCAGAAAGGAGTTCAAAATACAGCCACTAAGCTCACCTTCCTGCCCCTCAATCAGATCAGATCAGCCATTTTGCGGGCAGGAGCTTAACCATCCACATGTGAGTAGTCCCACTGAAGCCCATGGACTACGCAGATGCTTAAAGTTAAGAACATGTGCTGCTGAATCAGGGTCTAGGGATGGTAAGTAGCGATTCATTTGATAGTCGAGTAGTTGAGTACAGTAACAGACACAGTTATAACCACTCTGGATTGTCCTCAAGTTCAGTTACAAACGCGCTTCCCGTGTCTGCTGCAGACAGAAAGTCTAACAGTTCTTCACACTCAGGCCAACGCCAGGGCGCCTGTCACCAGCATTCACGTGCTTTCCCAGCAGCCATTCCAGAATCTTTTGTTATTATAGCCAAATTAAAAACTACATGCCCAGCCCAACGTAGCTTTACTCACTGCACATCTTTCCAGCTGCTTGGGAGAGTCAGGCCTGACCTTATCCCTTACTCAGTTAGGAGTACTGTCATCTAGCTGCAGGAGCTGATTTACAAAGTGCACAAGCGGCAGTAAAGCTACGGCTAGATTACACATTTTTGTCGGAAAAAGATGCACTCTGCATTTTGCGTACCTTTTTCTGATTCTTTTGTCGAAGAGGCTTTTCTAACATTTTTCCCGTCTAGACTGGGCCAAATGTAGGAAAACCCCCTCTTTCGGAAACCCCCTTCTTCCTCGTAGAACAAGGAATACAGGGGCTTCTGAAAGAGCACGTTTTCTCTGCTGCAAAAAAAAAGCGGAAGAACAAAGGCATTCCCTGGACACGGCAGAGTTTTCTCGAGATACCTCTGGTATCCTGAAACCCCTCCACAGTCTAGCTGTACCCTTAGATGCCAAATCTGGGCTTTAGGTTATTACAGATCCTCCTTGTAATCCCCAGTGTTTGATTCTATGAAAGTTCTCACTGGATCTTCTTCAGTATGAATGTGGTTTTATGAATTACACTGACAAGTAGGTCATGAAAACTAGAGATGCAACTCAGCCCCTAAACCTGAGCAACCCTGAACTTTGGGCTTTGAAACTTCCAAATCAGGATCCAAAGATGCATATTTTGCAGATTATTATTTATTTGTATTACCATGGCACCCAGGAGCCCCTGTTGTGGGCCAAGACCCCAATGCACTACACACTGTTTAATCACAGATCAAAAAGGCAGTCCCATCTCCCGCAGCAAACAGACTAAGCTGACACTGTCTCACTTTTTAAAAATGAGTTCTTGTTTCCAATGTGGAGAGGAGAGTCCTCCCTTGCAGTGCTGGAAACTGCAGTTAGTAGAAAATGTTCCACTGATATTTTATATCAGAAGATGGTATTTCAATGCAATCAAAATATTCATGGGAAATCATCAAAACATTTCATTTCATCTTTACTGTTTATTGTAAGTTTACATAGATCTCAAATTCAAATATGCGTAATTATGCCTGCAGAGAAACTGGATTATTGAGGACAGTGAATTGTGTCATCATGGTTTAACTCTATTAGCTGTTTATGAAATCTGAGCTGGAAAACAGCAAAAGAGGGATGAAGCTGAAAACTATCTGAGCAAAGGGGTGAGGCAGAAAGAGAGGATGATGGCCTACCAAGGTGTTTGGAAAAAAAGATACCTGTAGGTAGAATTAGGCCGGGAGAACTTTTCACTTTCTTCACGGGGGTTATTTTAACGGCAGAAATAGAGCGTGCACATAAAGGGTCGTCAATGGCTGCAAACACAAAAGTGTAGTTGGTGCATCCAGAAGGGAAGAACACAATGAAGGCAACATGCCACACAGCTTTCCAAGGTGCTTGGGAAACCCAGGATGACAATAGCAGGAAATTCCATGTACAAAAGCAGTTTAGAGAGCAGTGATGCAATCATTAAAAATAGCCCCTTATTCATCCTAAATCAGGATCCTTCTCTTTTGGGCAAGGCACAGTTCTGCTTAGTGAACGGACTGAGTCCTGCCTGCCAATGTACTGTGAGGGAGGTGAATCGTATACATCCATTTTCAGAAGACTTAACTAAAAATTAGCGTAAGCCATTAGCCAAGACACTACATATATTACATGCAAAGATAAAAAACGGTAAAAGTTGCAGAGTTAAAATTATGCAGTGAGGAAACAAACAGATTATGATTCTCAGAGTAATACTGACTGGCCGCTCTGCACAAACCCTTGTTTTGATGGTGTATATTTTTACAACGTAAGTAGCAGGGAGTAGAGAACGGTCATCGGGAGCCTTGAAAAGGATCCAGAACCAATGGGTACCATCCTGCTATCCAGTCTTGAGATATCCAGTCAGTCGAGCAGGAAATCAGAAGGATTCTGTTTAAATTCTGTTTTTATGCTTACAGCACTCATTTTACCTACAAATGCTGAACACTTTTTAGAGGGATTTTTCTCTGTTCTGCAGAACTGTGCAAAATTCTAGCACTTGTTGAAAATTTGTAAAGGTTCCTCGCTTCTCCAAAACCTCTGGTTTGATCTCTCCTGCTCTTTCTAATGTGGTCTTGAATGAGCAATACTGAACTCTACCCTCTTGGAGTACCAGCTGAGCTAGGCGTGGGTGAACCTCCAGATACACAGCTGGGATAAAACACTTGAGGGGAATTCCTGGTGCCAGCGAATTCAATGAGGGTTTTGCTACTGACTTCAACGGAGAAAGGACTTTACCTCTAAAGTCTGACCTTATACAACCTCTGCACTCATTGAATTCTAAAGGTTGGACGCTGCTCCAAGTTTTAGCCAAACCTGCTTTTGATCTGCAATGTCAGAAGAACAGCTTCCTCTTGGGGTTGCCTTGTGGCACTTTGGCTGCACTTCTGGATAAAACCTGAAAACACAGAGGCTACCCCAGAATGAAAAGGTATCAAGAAGAATGACGTGGGGAAGAACTTGGCTAAGTTCTTTCAAATCTCTGGAAAGTTTGGCGACACAATTTGAGCTAATTTTTAGTAGAGATTAACTTAAATAGAGACTGTTTTCCACCCCTCACTAAACTTCAAGGGTTGGTTTCGACACCATGTGACCTTTCTTCCAAAATGACGTTAGCTGGGGGAAGAACCACATTACAACGTTTGGTGAAAGCAAAATGCCAACACTGCCGTGCTCTTGTACCGTTTCACTCTGAACCAGCTCATTCATCCTCTACAATAAATATACTGCCTAGCTCAAAAAGTCATCGAAGCAGAAAAAGGGTATGAATACCAGAGCAGAAGCCTGGGGCAAAAGTCTACCCCCCCAAATGCACTATTACAAAAACCTGAATGGTGCAAGGCCAAGTTCTAAAGCCCACAGGAAAGACTTGCTGATAAAGAGAGTTTCCCTTAAAATGTTAACATGAATTAAGCACTGGACCAGGCCCCTCATGCTGTGGTTGCAACTGAGCACAGTGAGACAGGATAGGGAAATAGTTGCACCGCTCCTGCTGAGTGCAGGGGCAACTGGAGAGGTGATTTGGAAGGTATTTCACCCACCGTTCTCTTGTCCGTTGCTGTTTGGTATCAGCCCATTGACCACAGTTTTCATCACGTCAGCTTCTTGTTCTGAAAGACAAAGGGGAATCCGGGCACCACACAATAAGAGAGCTCACACAGACCAGGCGGCAGCGCCTGACAATATTCAGGATTTCAAAAAGCATTTTGTCTACAGCAGAAATGCAGGAGACATGCAAGAAAGGAACAGGACGGGGAATAGTAAAACACTGTGGATATACAGGCGTTTGTTAAGCTTAACATATGGCAGCAAGAAACCTAACTACGAAATCTGTGAAATTAACTGTTGACAGCAAAGCGATGTCAGGGTCAAAATCACTCACAGGTACAGGTATTATGAGTTGGGCATCTGTCAGGCTGCTGCAAGTGGAGTGCTTTGATACCACGCTGACCCACGTGCCCGGGGGAGCTGATCACCAGACCTTTGGACAGGATTTCACTCCCCCTCATTCTTGCCCTCTGAGACCAAGCTCCTTGGGGCAGGATCTGTGTGTTTGTATAGCATCTAGTACAACCGAGGTCCAGCCCATATTGTGGTCTCTACATACCAGCAAGGAAAAATTCAATACCCATCCTAGTCAGTAGTTGTCCATCAGTTAACCTTCATGCAAACCCACAGGAGATCCAGGGTCTCCCCAGGGCCCAGAAGTATCTTTTGTAATGGCACTCAAGGTTGTCCTAGGCTGCTGGCAGCGGGGACCCTAAGGATGTGTCTAGACTACAGAGTTTTGTCGACAAAAGTGGACATAATGTCGACAGAACTCAGCAGTTTTGTCGACGCTGGTAAACCTCATTTTACGAGGCATAAAGCCTTTTGTCGACAGAGTTCTGTCGACAGAAGGTGTTGTTGCATCTAGGGTTGTGTCTAGACTACAGGGTTTTGTCGACAAAGCGGCTTGCTTTGTCGACAGAACTGGCTGTAGTCTAGACGCTCTTTGTCGACAGAAGCTTTGTCGACAGTATCTGTCGACAAAACTTCTGTCGACAAAAGCCTGTAGTCTAGATGTACCCTAAGACAGTGGTCCTCAAACTTTTGCATGCATCCCCCTAGCAGGTAGCAGAGGACGAGGTGGGGTGAGGAAGGAGCCACCTAGTTCTGCTCTGCCCCCCAGTCCAGCTGCAGCATCACACTCTGCCCCCTGGATTTCCCCATCCCAGCTCTGCTTCTATTCCCTCTCCATCCCTAGCTGAGCTCCACTTCTAGCCGCAGCCCGGCGCCTGCACCCAACCCCCCGCCCAAACCAGTGAAAATGAGCAAGGGAGCAAGAGTGGGGAGCGTGAGTGATGGAAGGAAGGGGAGGTGAATAGGGAGTAGGGCCTCATAAAAGGGGGCAACTTGGGGCACGGCCTCAGGAAGGGGTGGGGTACAGGAATGATGTTTGGTTTTCTGCATTCGGAAAGTTCGCAACCCCAGGCCAAGCTGACTGACCCCAGCCCTTTCTAGTCACCTTGGGGCTGGTACAGGCTGAGTGCGGGTGTGGGGGGAACAACCTGAAACCAGGGTTGGTTGTTTTTTTATTGGGAATACTTCCTGTGGCCCTCCCAACAAGTGGAATCCCACACAGGAATGGCCGATTCAGAGAGCCACAAACGGTAACCACGTTAGAACCGGATGGGAAGGTTTCTGTAGTTAGAAGGCAGGCATGTGAGGAGCAGGGACTCACCAGAGCTCATTGTGCCAGAGGAATGTGTCTTCTGCACTTCCAGGTTCTGCTTTTCTCTGTTTGAATGAAAGAGAGAATCCTGCCATGATGCTGCTACACTGAAGGACACTTGTAGCTCCCCAACCTGCTCCCCCCAAGTCTTGTGAGACCCAGTTCCAGAGACAGGCCACAGTCCTCTCCTGAGCGTTGTGCAAAACCAGTGCTCCAGGACACCAGCAGGCATGGCCCAGAATAGCTCTGATCACACGTTCCTCTCTCTGAAGTCAGGCCAACAGTTCTATTTCCTTCAAGAGCACAAGACACTAATTTCCCAGCCCAAGGAAAGAGAGTTTAGATCAAAGAGAAGCAGCATTTGTTGGTAATTTGCAGAATGGAGGGAAGACAGAAATAAGCAGGATTTCCACACAACGTGGATACCACTGAAGGAAACTTTAGACTATATCTAAACTTTGTCTCACAAGATCTGGATTATGTGCAAGGTCATCTGCACTAACGAGTTAGGAAACTCTTGCCTTTGCAAGCCTGTGAGATATGTAGCAGCTTCACAAGGTGTCTCATCTAGAGCTTTTTCAGTCCACTGACAATTTGGAACAATTGAAAAAAATAGTTTCAAGATGAACCAAAAACTAAAATTTTCAATTTTTTCTAGGAAATTAAAAACTTAAAAGGTTTGAGTCAAATGAAATGTTTTCCTTTGATTTTAAGTATTTTGTTTTTAACATTTTTAATTATTTAAAATACATTTGAAGGACATTTCAAAGTGAAAAGTCGTTTTGAGCTGAAAAACTGAAACAGTGCATTTTGAAAATGCAAACCCAAACAAAACATTTTAACTTTTGCAGAACATTTGTTTGTTGGGGGTTTCTTTCTTCCAGATTGAAATCTTCTGGTTTTATGGGAGCTGCACTCTTTAGCCAAAACAGGTTTTAGATTAAATTTTTCACACGGATCTAATCTCATTAGAGAGAAAATCCCTGAGCAGGAAACCCTAGCACAGATCAGTGCTTAGATACCAACCTAACTGATCATGCGGAAATAGGATGGCTGGCCTTCCTTTGTTTTTGAAGATGTTACTACACAGAAGAAAGATGTTTGTTTCCCTACTGCTTTGCCAAATGCACATTCACTTTTTCCCAGTCATTCCCAGCTTCTCTAGTCCCATCTGAAGTTCAAAGAACACAGAAAACACTAAAAATGTGCATTGACATGCCAGGGAAAGGTGTCTTCAGTGATGGATTTCTCTCTTTACTGAGGGTATGTCTAGACTACAAGAATCTATCGGGAAAAGCTACACAAAAGGCGTTCTGCAATCTGCGTACCTTTTTCCGATAGTTTTTTCAGAAGAGGCTTTTCCGAAATTTGGCCCATCTACAGTGATCTTCGTGGTCAGAGGCCCAAACCCCAGGTCACAGTCCCTGTCTCCCTGTTGCACTGGGACTGTTCCCCCTAGCTGCATCCCTACTCTGCAGCTGCCCACCCTGCATGCAGCAGAACTACAGTGCTGCTATTGCTATACCGGGGCACATCCTTTGTCTGGGTGAACATCCTGGGTGAACAGAGATATACAGATCTTGCATTTAAGCAGGCAGAATTCAAAATCCAAGACAAAAGCCTAGTAAACATTACGACCCAGAGGGACAGACGTAGTTAATTTTTCCTACTGTGCTGTGTGTCAGGGATTGTGTCTGTACAGCGCCTGGCACAATAGAGCCCCTGGGGACTACCATATCCATAAATAATAAACCAGCCTGAGTTTAATTCCTAGGTTCGATTTCAAATGCTTGGCAGGCAAGGTGAAGAAAATCCAACAGGCACACATGGCATGAGAACAGTCTCTCTCCCATGCTGAGCCTAGCCAAAGGCTGGGCCCTCATGCATATCACTGCAGATGACAGCACTTACTTCTATTCTTGTATTCCCGGAAGTAGCCCCAGGACACACAATGTGTCTTTGGGAGGAGCCCAAGGGGCAAGAGTCATACAGCGCGACTCCACGCAGATCTCAGGACAACAGAAACAACATGCATTTCCCCGTGCAACTGAGCCCAGCATATCAAATTTCTATACTATGGGGTGAAAGATACTATATAAATATACAAATCTTAGGCAGGAAAATGTGAAAGTCAGGCCTCCCCCTTAATAAGTCTTTGAGCATTGTAATTACTTTCTTATTTAACTCATCCAGCTTCTTAACCCTGAACGTATTGTCAGGCCCACCAACGGGAGGGGGTAAGAGCAAAGGGGATAATTGCCCCAGGAGCCAGTGATTCCTAAAGGGCAACTGGAGCCCCAGGCCCTTTAGAATTCTGCCAGAGCACCCCACAGCATGCTCCAGAACCCCATGTAGTGTGCTCCGGCCAGCTCTGAGGGCCGAAAGGGAGAGGGCGTACATGCAATGCTGGGAGCTGGATGTCCTAGCCCCACCTCTTCTGCCCAAGGCCCTGTCCCTTCCAGGAACACAGAGCCTCCCCCTCCCCCCTTGCCCAGGGGCATGGCAATCCTGTTGTCTCCCCTGTGTATTTTAGGCAAGATGCTCAGCTGGATAAAAATAAATATATCAAGAGAGAAACACAGGAAAATGCAGTCAAGGACTCCATACAACTGACCTAAATTGCAGTTTTCATTTTCTGTGGCAGTGCCTTTCTGATACCAGGTCTACATCAAAGAGCTAGGTCAATCCAGCCACAATGCTCAGAGGTGCGAAAATCCACACCCTGAATAATGTAGGAAGTTGACTAACCCTCACTGTAGACTGTGCTACCACCTCTCAGGGAGGTGGCTGGACTTTGGTGATGGGACAGTCTCCCGCTGCTAGAGCGAACAGCTACCCAGAAGCAGCAGAGACACAGCCTGACAGTCTATATGCTCATGTCCATGGCTTTCACTGAGTTTAATTAATACAGTTTGCACTTGTGCCTGATAACGGTCAAGTGGATCAATGTCACTGAAACACTCAACTGAATCCACAAACAGTCCAGAGCCCATAAAAAGGTGGCGGGAGGGAGATGCACGACGGGCAGGAACCAGCATGTCCCCCAGACTACAGCGTGCAAAGCTGGTTTACACCAGGCAAGAATCTGAGGGCAAGGTTTTGTTACGAGCAGGCAGCAGGGATTATGGTCCCGAATGAGGAAAGCACTCAAGGCTATGCTTCAAGGCTAGCGTGTGCTTTCCTAAATCAGGATCACAGTTACTCCTGCTGCTAGGCTCCCAGGTGCTTAACTTCAGTGTCGCTGACTTTAAAGTTAAAGGTGTGCTTAAGTGCTTTCATGAATAGGGACTGTTCTCCAAAATTGGAGCCTATGTCGATAGACAGTTTTAAATACTGCTACTGCCGTGCAAGTCTATACATGAGCATCTCAGATCAGTGGCAGATGGTATCCGTCATGTCCATTTTATAGCTGGAAGAAGCAGTTCAGCAAAACCAGAAATAGAGCCCAAGTTCCCTTCCTTCTAGCACCCTGCTCTAGCCAGTGGACAATGCTGCTCTCCAGCAAACCCTAAAGAATGCCTTTGCTCAAATGTGACACTAACATCGGCAGAAACCTCTGAGCTAAACAAATGTAAGACATGATGGCAGGTAAGGAATTCCCAAGGGCGTAGGCAGGGGTGGCCCTAGACTAGCTGCCAGCCACTGGCGCCCTAGGCGAACCATGCAATCGGCACCCCCACCTCCAAACCCCTCCATGATATTAGGCCACCATTTGGCAACCCATTTAACTTGGCGCCCTAGGCAACCGCCTAGTTCGCCTATATGGACGGGTTGCCCCTGGGCGTAGGCCAGAAGTTTCTGATCTTGAATGTGCCTCCATCTATGTTACAGCATCCCTACACCTCTAGGCAGACTTTTAATGACTTCGTCATCCCTTTTAGT